TCCATCCGTGTATACAGAGAACCAACCTAAACATAAAGGGAAATGAAAGTATCATCAAGTTCATGAACTGTGTTTAAAAATAAAATCAGCAAAAACATACCAATCAAATGCTCTAATTGGTTGGAGTCATAAAGTTTTGGCAAATACTTGAGAAAGTTAAAGCATGTAAAACTATGTCTAAGGAAACCACATGGGTGGAAAGTTTCCAAACCCCAGTGGAGACAATGCTTCAGGTCCATGACCTCTCACAAGAACCTCTTTAAAGTCCAGCTGAAAATCGAAGAGGAAACTTTTTGCCTCCATTTTCCTGAGACCATGTTGAAGAAAGCACTTGAGAAGCCATGGGGACCTTCCCTACTTCAGCTGCCAGAGATGCTCTTCCTGCATCGTTTGAATGTAGAAGATTTGGACATGAACATCACATATTAGCTAACACTGAATGGAACTGTTTGCACAAGGAAAGATCCCTGTTCTAGATTTTAAAAGAACAAATAAATGGTGAGATTTGTGATTCGCATTTCTGTATTTTCTAGAAGTGCTACATATTGTTGACTGCTTAACCTGTGTGGATATTGTAGCATGATGACACGTTTAATATAGTGAATCAGTCTGTCTATGCACATTTGATCCAGTGTCACAAATTTTCTGGCTTAGAGTAGCACCATCTTTCTTAACATTATAACATTGCCAACTATAGGCATGTAGCAACAATGAACATCTTTGGTGTCTACAGTTCAGCCCTTGAAATGTGAAAAACTTTTCAGTGCACAACATGCGTTGTAACAAAGTGCATATCTTCCATTAAAATACTATTTAGGGGCTCCTAAGAATTCAAATCAGTCTCCTTTTCATATGAAATCCAGATTACTTGTAAATACATTTAATGCGTTATTATGCACTGGCTATATGGCAGCATTTTTATTCTATGTGAAATATTTCATTCGTAATGAACGTTCTAACATTTTCTCCATCCTGTTGCTTTAGACTAAAATGTAGTATATCCTGGAAGTGTGTAAGTTACAGTGGTAGAGGATTGTGGGAAATTCAAATGATGCATTGCTCTTTACATCAGTTGACATAAAATATCACCATTGTCACACTCTAGCAAAAGGCAAAGGACAGACATTTACGGTGACAAAGTGGCTCATATCACAGACTGGACTCTTCTGACTTAAACTGTAGCCTCTTAGTAGTCCTATGTGCCTTTATTATTACAAATAGCATGCCTTTCCTTCTCAGAAATACTCAAAGATTGCAAGTGACTCAACTTTTGCTCTATTTAGTGCTGCTTATCTTGGATTTGTCTCCTAAAATAATTGAATCATTTAGACGATAGCAAAGTTTTTAAAGGTAAAATATTAATTTCCAGAAATAACAGGAGTGTAAAACTTAAGATAGTCAAGGAAACCAGAGCAAAACTTAGCTGAAGCAACAAAATATGAACTCAGAGGAGTATGTCCTTTGAGGTGACAGACAAGGAATACATTGTTATTTATGTAATTATTAATCTCTCAAATAAATTCAGAAGCATCATTGGCAGGAAATGATGAATGGGGTTTAATCTGTTCCTTCAGTGTACAGTAATCATATATATTTAGGATACTATATTCAAATGTGAGCTATATTTACAGTTTGAAATATGTTTAGTAAGAACTTCTTATAACAACCACCCAAACCGAAGCTCTGTCATTTTCAGGATGTTGAGTACTACAGTTAGTTTTGTTGCTGAAGCTTTAGTCATGAGAATGAGGGAAGGAGGAAAGTAGATAGCCAGACACAATTTCCCTAGATGGCTGCCTGCAGACATGACCCAATACACACATTCAGAAATGTGGCTATTGAAAAAGAAAGACTGAACAATGTTCCTGGAGTAATGTGTCTAGAATAAACTAATAGAATTGGAAAGATAGAATTACAGTAAGGACGTTGGTGGAGAGTTAGTACAAACTAATAATATCTTGTGTGGTGTTTTTTCATAGCAAATTCTAGAAACATTTTTTTCTTCTTAACATTCTAACTTCAATGTAGGTTTCTATTGTAAGACAACTTTCCAAGATAGATAGATATCCTGTATGCATTTTTAAACTTTTACTAATATTATGATCTAACATGAACATAATTCTCAAAACTATGAAATAATTTGAGTCACTCTTAACACAAGATTAACCAAAACATCATTATAATTTTGGAATTCAATTCAGCTGATGGAAGAAGGGTAATTTTATTTCTACATTATGAATACTTTCATTCAAAATGGTAATAATCTTACACTCTATCAGATAAAAGAAATGATGAAAAGAAAAAATTGATTTTATTAGATGATTAGAACACACTAATTTTGTGATGAAACCTCTTGAATTAGTTATACATATATGTAAAAGTTCTGAGAGTTATAAAATGTACAAATAATCCTTAATCATTTAGAAGCTTTGAGTCTTTACAAATACACCATAAGAAAAAAGGTCACACAGGTAAATGAATAAAAATGATGAATAAAAACATTGATCATTCCTGGTCATGGTCAAGGAGGAACTAAAATGTAATATAATTTTATTTCTCCTTCTCATCAATTCAATGTCACTGGGAATTTTTCCTCATTGTAGACATATAACTTCTGAAACACATTTCCTCATAAATCTTTTATGTCTATTCTCTTACCCAATTCTCACAAAATATCTTACCCATAGACAATCTTACTTTACTCATTAACAGAAGTTTGCTGAGGGTTTCTGGAGTTAATTTTTTGATATAATTGTTTGTGTATTTTATACATGTATAAAAAATTTAAAATATTTTAAATCTTAAAATAAATGCCATAGAATGTAAAAGAACATTGATTTGAACACAGGTCTGCCTGGGTGTGAATCCATCTTCCTATTTCATTTTATTGTCTTTCCTGCTTTCGCCATACACTAAGCTGAACTCTCCTGGATTATATATTAATAGTCTTTATCTTTAAATAAATGTTTTATTTGGTACAATGACATTGTAGAATTTGTTTTGTATTACTGGTTTTTAAAAATATAGTATGTAACTCTACATAGATTTCATAGAACAGGAAGAATTTGGTCATATTTAGAACAATGGGAAAATACTAAGCGTAATTAAAGTAAGAAAACCAATATTGACACACACTTATATATTTTTTAACTTCCTTGACAATTTATATTATTCTTGTTAACTTTGTTATTCACAACAATCAATTTATTTTTAAGTGACACAATCCTGATAATTTTTCCCTTAATGTTTAAGAGATAAATAAAAAAATAAGTGTGTTACTCTAACACGCATTAAACATATTATTAGACATATTGATTGCATGTATATTCAAGAGAATAATCATCCTAAATGTGTATGAAAAATAATGTCAAAATTTGCAGTAAAAATATAGCCACAGTCTGTATTCACCATCTGAATCCACATCATTTGACATCCTTCCGTATGGAGATGCCTAAAGACACAGAGGTATTAACTTTTAGAGGCTGATGGAGACTGGTTGGAGGATGAAGAAAAAAGATCCATGCTCCAAAGTCCTTGCTGAAACTGAAAAATCTGCACCTTTGTCTCTGTTCATCCTATGGAAGAAGTTGGATGGGGTATTGAAATTCAGTTAAGACTTCAAATCAAGGCTTTGTTATGAGCTTGAACAGAGTCTGTATCGACCTGTTTCCCAACCAAAACATAAGGATAATAAGACCTAGATCAGACCACTTCCTGGATACTCAATAGCAGAATCAAAGAAATAAAATCATTTTCTCTTGCCCTATAACATTATTTAAATAGTCAAATTAATCATCATGATGACACACTGAAGCTGTCTTTATGAGCTGTCTTTATTTTGTCTTTTTTGTCTTTATGAAAGAAGGTTTCCCTACTGAAGCCCCAGCTGGCCTGGAGCTCACTATGTAGACCAGGCTGGCTTTGATCTCACACAGATCTACTTGTCTCCCTGAGTGCTAGGATTAAAGACCTGTATCACACACCTGTGTTGTCTTTATAATTTTGAAATCACTAATCATTTTTTAATTTTATTTTTTATTGAATTTTGCAATTGTCATACAGTATAATTTGATGCTATTTAGATTCCCTACTCTATCTGCTCCACCCCTTATATATAATACTATAGAATCTGATTTGTGTCTCCAAAGGTCCTTCAGTTTCTGTCCATTCTCTGGGCCCAAATCACTAATTAATTTCAAATGTGCTCAAGAGTTAATCTATATTTTATGTGCTAAATATAAGATTTGGGCTGGGGATGTTGCTTAGTTGATGAATTTGATGCCTAGAGCCCTTGGTTAAGTCCACAGAACGGAATAAACTCAAGTTCATTCTCTCTATACTTACAGAGTAAGTTCGAGGCTAGCCCGGATTACATGAGATTGTGAATTGCAGAAACAAACAGTAGAACTGGTACTTTACCATAGACCTTTTTTTTGTATAAGGAATATATTAATTAATATATTAACAATTCAGAGTTTTAAACATACATTTGAGGAATACTCGTGATTTTCAAGGATATCTTATTTTTATGTCATTTATCTTCTATTTGTAGATAAGGCAATCTCTAGGGTGATATTCAAAGTACTTTTCCTCATACTCAATGATAATAGAAGATGTGATTATGAAATTAGAGCCCTTGCTACAATCAAACTTAGATGTGACTCAGAAAGTTTCTCAATCACTCATTTCCTGAAGCTGATATTAACGAAAAATGACAATCTCTGATTAAAAAGAAAAATGCTTCCCAATCCTACAAGTGGATGCTCCCAATCACCAACTTAGAAAATATGGTAATTTGAGGTATTTAACAACTTTATTCAGTTTTTTCCAGGCCCTTTACTCTATTCAACATATTTCTAATTTTGTGTTTCAGTGATGGCATCAGTGTTTATGAAGCTTGTTTACAGATGTGTATCAATTTGTGCATGAGTACAATATCAAAATATGCCTTGCTACAAATTTTTCTTATAATTGCAGAACCTTCATTTGATAACTTTTTTTTCATCTCCTTTGAAGTCATGAAAAACCAAAGCATAGTAAGTGAGTTCATCCTCCTGGGACTTTCCCAGGATCCTAAAGTCCAGAAGATAGTATTTGTTGTATTTTTATTGGTCTACATTGCAACCATTTGGAGCAACATGCTGATTGTGGTGACCATCGTCTGCAGCCCTGCACTGCTGGGCTCCCCCATGTACTTCTTCTTGGCATTCCTGTCCTTCCTGGATGCATGCTTCTCCTCTGTCATTGTCCCAAAGACAATTGAAGACTCCCTCCTTGAGAAAAAGACTATCACCTTTAAAGGCTGCATGATACAAATCTTTGCTGAACATTTTCTGGCTGGGGCAGAGGTGATTGTCCTCACAGCCATGGCCTATGACCGCTACGTGGCCATTTGCAAGCCCTTGCACTACTCTTCCATTATGAACCAGAGGCTGTGTGGCACTCTGGTGGGAGTGGCCTGGTCAGGGGGCTTCTTGCACTCCATCATACAGATTCTCTTCACGTTTCAGCTGCCCTTCTGTGGAGCAAATGTCATTGATCACATCATGTGTGACTTGTTCCCTTTACTGAAGCTTGCCTGCACTGACACACACATTTTTCGTCTTTTAGTGTTTGCCAATAGTGGGTCTATCTGCATCATAATCTTCTCCTTGTTGCTTGTCTCCTATGGCACCATCTTGTATTCGCTGAGAACTCACAGTTCTGAAGGGCGGTGTAAAGCCCTCTCCACCTGCGGATCCCACATTGCTGTTGTGGTTTTGTTCTTCATCCCATGTATATTTATGTATGCTCGACCTCCATCTGCTTTCTCGTTTGATAAAATTGTGGCAATATTTTGTACCATGCTCACTCCTTTACTCAATCCTTTGATATACACTTTAAGAAATGAGGACATGAAAAATGCCATAAAAAATGTATTGAAGAGATTGATGATGTGTTCTGGTAAAAAATAAAATATTTAAAGAGGACTTTCTCAGAAACAGAATTTTAGAGGAAAAAGAACAGTCTTAAATACCTTTTGTTAGTGAAGATGTTCATTGAAAGATAAACCAATGAAATAAAATATTTATTGACATTGGTGGTCAGTAAGTGTTTCAAAACCTGAATATTCTCAGTCTTAAATTTAAATTTTAGCTATACCATGCACTAATGAAAAAGGCTGCAAAAAGTTGTATTATGTATTATTTAGAAGATAATAAGCAAAGAAAAAGAATGCAATGCCTTGTGACCTATTAAATTATCATCGCTCTATGTTTTGCAAATCTTAGAGATTAGGAAAAAAAAAATTAAAGTACTTCAAACAAAAACAAAGTAGATTTAGGGCACTAACATCACTGGATTGTTGAACAAAAGAGACCCAGGTAAAGTCTAGAGCAGACCATTCACAGGATTGAAACTATAGGTATTAGTGTAGCAATCGACTCTATCATTTGGTTAATTTGTTACCATTGGCTACAGAATTTACTTCTCCAATGTTGGGAGGTGGAATCTGAGTGATTCAGATCTGTCTTTGGATGCATTCTTCTTAGAGAAGGTGACCTCACCATACCAGCTAGCTATTGGAGAGAAAGAGGAGGAAGGCCTCACAGGAAAATAGCAATAACCATCTCAGAGTATGATAAAAGCGAATCTTGAGAAACCATGATATCATCAATGCCATTGCCAAACCTGCAGAGGTCGTGCAAATGTTTCCTCTGAAGAGAATCAAAGCCACAGACATCTAATAACATGAATGTTTCAAAAAGCAGTTACACTTCAATTCACTAAATGAGTGGAATTTTAATTAATTAATTAAAAATAATGATTGGAATTAATTAATTCTTATTCAAGAGATTTATCCAATGTATTTTGATTTTATCTTCCCTCCCCAACTCTTCCCAGATATAGGTCCACATTCCTACTCAACTTCCTCTTCCTTCCCCTCCTTCTCCTCCTCTCCTGCCTCTACCTTCTCTTCTACCCTCTCCTTTCTCCTTCTCCTCCTCCTCCTTCTCTTCCTCCTCCTGCTCTTCCTCCTCCTCCTTCATCTTTTCTCCTTTCCCATCAAGTTCAATCTGTGTTGCCCAAATATTCTTGAATGTGAAACCAGCCCTGGAGTATGATCAACCTACAAGGACCCACACCCTTAGAGAAAGCTGACTCTTCCTCACCAAGCAGCTGCAGTACACCAATAGCTCCTTAGTAATGGGTGGGACTTCATGCTTACCTTTGGTCTGGCTTGAGCTAGGATGGGCCTTGTGCATTATGTCACAATTGTTGTGAGTTCCAGTGTGTCATTTGCTTTCTGTCTGAAAAACACTATATCCTTGTAGTGATTCAACATTTCTGGCTCTTACAATTTCTCTGCCTCCTCCTTGGAAAGCTTTTAGCTTTGGGGAGGGATGTAATTGGAACTTTATACTCCAGTGAAAATATTTCTATTTGAACTATAATACAAAGCAGCGATTATTTAATTATTTAGACACAATTTTTCAGTCTCATTGTTCTGTTTTGTTAGTAAATATCTTTTGGGAAAAAAAATGAAATAATTTATCCCAAAAAATCATTAATAAAATGTCTACCAGTTATTTTAACCAAGTAGTAAATAACAGCTTCCTTCTTTAACTTATCTTCCATATGAATATCAAATTATACCATTATATCATATTAGATTTTTCCTTATTTTTTATATTGACTTTTGTCTGAGGATGGTGAAGTGACTTCAGAGATTTTAGTTGTTAAGCAAGCATGCAGCATTGTATCACTGAATAATGCTGCTGTAGTCCTTGAATTTATTGAAAATATTTTCAGGAAAAATATAGCCATTTTTAAACTTGGGATTTTGTGTGTGTGTGTGTTTGTGTGTGTGTTGTATGCACATACACAAGCCTTTGGAGAGTGGAGCAGGATGCCAAGTGTCTTCTACTGCCCTTTCCATTATTGCCTTGACACAGCGCCTCTCACTGAACCAGAAACTTGATTATTTGGCAAGATTGTTTAGCCATGGAACTCCTAGAATTCTCCTGTCTCTGCCCCCAAATGATAGGCATACCATGCCCAGATTATTTTATGCTGGGATTTGTACTCATGTCTTCATACTTCCACAGCAAATGTTCTTACCCACTGAGCAATCTCTCAGACCTCTAAATTGGAGATTTAAAAAAAAAATGCTTCCATATATCTGAAAGTAATCAATATTGGTGTTGATGTCTAAGTAGAAAAATGAAATGGTTCCATAACTGTAGGTTGTCTGGGAGATATGTGTATAATTTTGCAACATTAAATAAAAAGTAAATTAATGTTAAAAAATTAAATGAACATTAAAAAGTCCTATTTGAAAGAAATTTTTAATGGATTGATTGAGGACTGTGTTATGTTAATCTTGAGCCAGTGTTCTTAATCACTGAGCCATCTCCCTAGTCCCTGAATTAAAAAAAAATCTTAAAAATTCATGAGACTACTAAGTAATTTTTATTCTAATAACATACTAAATTGTACTCATCAGTATCATCAAGATTAATACAAAATCAGTTTTTAAATCTTGATAGTACATTAGTATATTTTTATGGCCATATGTGTGACTTGTATGTGAGTGTCTGTGGTCCTGGGTATTGCATGGAGAAACTTGGACATGGTAGCCTGCACTGGAGTTGTATCCCTGTATGTAATAGTAACACTTTGCAGAATGAGAAACTAGTTAATGTGTCTAAGTTCCCCAAAACACATATAACTAAGACTCAATTTCATTCTATATGTTTGAATCCTTAACTGGGCTGAGTGGTACTATGCCTTTGAAAGCTTAGTTGGATTGAATGTTTGGTAAATAATCTAACAAGCATACTTTAGGGAAAAAATCAAATGGCAGTGGAAAATGTCTGTGACAGCTTTGCCTGAGAATAATTGGCCTGGCAGTTTGCTATGGTACTCTATTAATTTTGTTAAATAGCCCACTTAGCAAATCCTTCAGGGCTGATGACAAAGAAACCTGGGAGGACAACAAAGAGACATGGTGTTTGCTCCTGTGGAGACTGTTAATATATGAGCTTCACTATATACCTATAAATGTTTGATGGAGAGCAATATGTTGACTTCACATATTCTTCCAGGGACTATCTTAGGGTAAAGACTGGCCTTACAAATATTTCTGTTTAGCAGAGTGCATAGTTCTGTTTTAGTTACAAAAAGAGAAGTCTTCTGACAGGATTTCAGTTCCTGTGGTAGAATTTAAATCAAGTCTTCTACGAAGGCCATCTGTGGAGTGGCTCCTCATTCCATAGCCTCTGCCAAAGAAAGCAAGAGTGGATGAATCCAAAGTATGATTTAGGGTAGACAGACTCCATTCCACAGTGTACATGCTGCAGATACAACTGTAACTGATTCACTGTCGAAGAAAACCAGAATTGAAAAGAAGGAAAACACGAGAAGCTCCTTGGAAGAAGCTGTCTCCTTACCTCCAATAGAAAAGGTAAAATTTCAAGCCCAGTTCAACAATTTTAGTTCTCTTATCCTCCATTCATGTCAGCTTTACTTGGTTCTTCCTCCTGTGAAACCCAAAATTACAGAGAAATGATTTCTGTATGGGTGAAAAACTTAAAAAAAAATTAAGCTGCCATATCTTACACCAACCTCTGAGCAGCACAACCGAGACATGAGCTAAATATGTTTCAAGAATGAAGGGATTGGTACTACAGTAGAGGAACACTGCAGGCTTCTTATTTGGAAAGTGAGAAGCCAGGCGAAGATTAGGCATGGACACGCAGAGCAGTGACACAATTAGCACTGAAGCTGCTGAGACTGGGTGCTCTGACACTGAGGAGTCCGTGTTGGTCCAGGACGTATCCTCACCTTGTCTGTTTCACCCTTGTAGAGCCCATGTAAGGATCAATGCAGAGTAGAAAACAAAAGTTCTACATAAGTCCAAAAACACTCATTATAGCTACCTGTTTACCCTTAACCTGTGGGATTGTCCCTGTCTCATCTCTCGATCCCTTTTGCTTCTCTGACTCTTGCTGACAATGACATTATTTTCTCCTTGGTTCTGATTCTTCTAATCATTATAGTTGACAGAAGGGAGAAATGGTTAGAGCATGAAGTGTAAAAGCCTGGGTGCTGGACCTGGGAGTTTTCTGGTATATATGCTAGCAGTTTATTCTATAATGCACAGATTGGAAAACAAACTTGTAACACTAGGTATAGTCATCTGAGTAACTACAGGATATTCAAGCAAAATGAGAGAAGAATGCAGAACAGAGAATATAAGTCAATAAGATGCAGGAGCATTTTTTTTAGTGGAAGGCTATTACAAATAGTTATTTGAGGGCTGGAGAGATGGCTCAGCAGTTAAGAACACTGGTTGTTCTTGCCAAAGACCCGGGTTCAAATCCCAGCACCCACATGGCAGCTAATAGCTGTCCGTAACTCCAGTCCCAAGGGATCCCCCCACGGGCATTGCACGACACAGGTGCACTTACCTACATGCAGGCAATACATGTGTACACATAAAATAAAAATAAATAAATATTTTTTTAAAAAAGAAATAGTTATTTGATGATGGAAATCTGCTTAGGCTTACTTAAGACATGGTTATTTGCACTGGGTGCTCTGTTAAAGGTAAAAATGGAGAGCAGAGATTTGAGAAGAGAAAATCTCATCAGGCTGTGATATATGATACATTCATGGAGAGAACTGCCTGAGGGTATTTCTATGGGCATGAGTGTGAGACAGGGCTGGAGCAGTGACTGAAAGTCACAATATTGCAATCACTATTTTTTATACATGTGCATGTATAATCTACATGTTTAGACATATGATCATTTCATGTCGAGTTTCCACTTTTCCTTTTCAGGTGTTAATAGGAAGGAGCCAAAAGTGGAGAGAGTACACAGAAAATGAAGAGAAAAGAGAATTTCTAAATTTTGGCCCCTGTTTTCAGTTTAGGGACACAGAGAAGACATACCAGTAAAGGCCTTTGGTTGTATTCTTAATGAAGTCTAGGACTGCAAATTTATAATAATGGCAATGGTTAAATTTCTCCTTTTATGAATTAATAGTTCTTACACTGAAAACTGATATCAGTGTGTATACTTGGTATGCATATATATCCATGAATTATATACTTCTCAACTAAATTTTCTGAAACTGTAGACCTTAATGACTATAAAATATTGTCCCCAAGATGCTATATTCCAATTTTTGTGAATATAAAAATAATCTTTTTTAAAGCTGATGAACTATGTTTGATTTTGACACTCCTCCCGAGACAAGTTGAAAACAATAACTTTTAATCCCTCTTGAAGGACATGGCTGGTCAGATGCCACTGAAGAATCATATATGGGGAGCCGGCAGGGTCAAACTGCATTTTGTCAGGACGGTGCTAGATTCGTGTTTTCCACTAATTGTCTAAATGCAAGGAATAGAGTGGCAGGTGTTTAGCAGGAATCCTAGCATCCTGAATCAGGTGATTCTTCATTATGGATAAGCTCATCAAAACCTTCCACACAAAGATCATAGAATTACATAAATAACCCTGAATGATTTTGGTTTTAAATTTCAGGTAGTGAATAAATATTTTCTTTAAACTTTAATTTTATTATGTTTATGTTTGGGTTTATGGAGGGGGCACATGTGTCATGGAGGAATACATGTGGTGGTCAGAGGACATCTTATAGAAATCAGTTCTCTCCTACCAGGTAACTCTCAGGGCTGAATTCAGGTCCACAGGTTTGAGGGCAGGTTTTACCTGAAAAATTATCTCACTACCCCCTGATAAATAAGGGCTAATAAAGAATTCTCTGTTTTATGCCCTCCAATTTTATAATTTGCTAATGAAAATATGTAAAAATTTCAACATCTATCTATCATTAGCTTCTGCCAGGAAGACTGCCTGCATTTCTAAACTTCCCTATGATGTCTTTAGAGTATGGCTAGCTTGGGGTTTTGCATGAATTTCTTTAAATTTCCATGAAAATATGTTTTTCTTTCTCATATCCCAAAGGCTTGTCTTTTTAAATCCAATTTTCATAGCACTAGAAATTACCATAAATGGTTTGTTTCTGTTTTCTCTTCATCACAGTGTTGTCAATGTATTTAGATGCTGTAAATGTTTTGTTCATCAAATTCTTGTATTTATTGAAATTAATAGCCATCACTTCAGTTATGTGACCACCATGACATAGTTATTATGGTACATATGATTGATATAACTTTAGACACTTTGTAAAAATACTTTTCATTTTAAAACAGTATGAAAATATATCACGGAACAGTATGAATATACACCAATAATTCACTTGAAATGATGATTTTATGAATTGGAAGGTATCTTTTGAGTATCCAGGAATAAAAGTAACTAATTCAGACTAATTCAGTTGCACAGAACTATAGAACCACATCTTCTACACACTTTGTTCTTATAGAGGCTGCTCCCTTATACCAACACAATATAGGGAAATTAGTTTATTATTTATATTTTAACATGTGACTAATGTGAGACTCAAGTTTCAGATTACCAGTGGGCTGTGATGTGATGCTTGAGTCTGCACAATAAATTAGCATATTTCATTAACTCTGACTCATTTGGTATTCTCAGAATCTGCTGGGAACTGGGCTCTCTTATTTAAAGTTTTATTTGGTCTCTTTATGTAAAATTAATTTTTTAATGAATATTATATCTCTTAGGTAATTGTTCCTTTGTAGCTGAAGATGATTTCTATTAGTAGTCACTTTTAATATTCACAATGTATTGTCTTAAATAATTATTGTGTTTTATTGCATTTATTTTAAATCTCACCAAATTGTTAAGAAAA